TGGAAGCTCGAGCCACTGTCGAACGAATTTTGTGACAAGCTGATCTAAGTTTTCGCAAACCCACGTTTTGGAGAGATTAGCAACTGTGAGATCCCAAGAGAGCTTTGAAAGGATGTATTGATTAAACAGTAGAATTTTGTTCCGCGGGTGAATTTTCAAGGAATTGATAACTTTGAGCATCTCACGGAGAGAAGAGGTCAAGTGATCCTTGTGTTCCTGGTTCTTCATATCATAATTGAAGAAACGACCCAGGTATTTGAAAGATTCGCCATGTTTCACAAAAGGGACAGGATCGTTGTTAATGAAGAGTTTAGGCTGAAACTGTGCAGATTTAGTTGCAAACTTTTTAATTCCAAAGGTGATGCACTTGTCTACGCGGATGATCATATTTGCCCATTGGCACCATCTTGTAAAACAGTTTAGCAATAATTGATTTTCGCGTTCATCACTTGTGACAACTGCAGCATCATCAGCGAATTGAAACCAGTGAACCGGGTTAAACAAGCGATCATTGCCGTCATGAGTAGAAAATCCAAGTTGTTTATATTTGTCTTGTTTTACCAGCTGAATAAAGGTGTTGAAACATAAATTGAAAATGAGAGGGCTGAGGCAGTCCCCTTGCAGTACTCCTCTTTTGACTGGAATGGCCGGAGACCTGAAATTATCTGTTATAATTGAAGTGTGGAAATCAGTATAAAGATTAGACACGAGATCTTGAAAGTGAGCAGGGATGTGATGATAGTCCATAGCTTTAATGATTAAGTTATGATGGACTTCTCCAAATGCGTTCTTTAAATCCAAAAGAGTGACAACCACAGAGCGTTGCTTTATGCGTGCTTTATTGATAATATGGGCCATCAGTGAAGTATGTTCCAGCACTCCAGAGATGTTAGGAGTGAACCCTTTCTGGATCTCGTGTTCAATGAAATTATTTTGTTTGAGAAAGGAAAACAGAGCATCACGCAGGCAAGAGGTAAATATTTTTAGCGGTACAGACTCGAGGGTAATAGGTCGAAAGTTTGCCGGATCATCAATGCTGCCTTTTTTATAGACTAAAACTGTACAAGCTTTTTTCCATTCGCTAGGAACGTGGCCCGTGGTCCACACAACACGTATTATTTCAGTCAGAAATGACCGGAGGTAAGGGCATCTCTTGAAACAAATAATAGAAATCTTGTCCAAAGGGCATGGAGATCCTGCTGACTTCATTTTGCGAATAACTTTTGTCACTTTTTCATAAGACGGGGGTTGTGTATCAAATGGAACTGAAGGTTGAGAAAGAGAAGGAATCCATGGAGGTATGACAAATTGCCGGTCTGGGAAGACTGCTGAAAACATTTTAACGAAAAATTGTGTACAACGGCTAACATAGAATGATGGCAGAACGGCAGATTGTTTTTCGATAACATTTTTTACGAAACTCCAGAGGTTCTTCGAGATGAGCTTATCGTAATCTTGGGATGTTGTTGCAGAGCTGCATATGTTACGATCCTGGCTGAGTTTTGATCGAAGAAGGCGGGATACAAATTTAATTTCAGTAGGTGGAGCACTTGACAATTTCAGACGTTTTAATTCTTTCTTGAGTGATTGTTTGGAGCAGTCCTTATATTTGTTAAGTAGATCATTATCACGAGTTCCGTTGACGGTTCCGTATGAATGTTTAAAATAATTGTAAATTGAATCGTTCATGAATTTAATCGTGGAATCAAGAGAGACTTTCTCAATTTTAGTGTTAATAAAGATAGATTTAAAATAATTGTTAGCAGTATTCCATTGATCATCAGTCTTAGGCAGACGTACACCAGGTTTGATTTCATAATCACAAAGTGTATCCGTTGTCACTTCCGTATGGCTGATCAGTGATTGGTTGGCGCCAATATTTGAATTTTCAAAATCCAACGGTTGATCCTCTAGGCCTTCAATTACTCTGCATCGTCTTTGGTGCATTTTCAGTCCTTTAGCACCCGAACATTCTTTCCCACAGACACATTTAACTATACCCGACGTCTGGAGGGCATTTTTGTCAGACTCTGATGTGATATTAATCGTGTTGTTTGGTCCAGCACTCTCGGGCAATCTTTTTCTGCAGCGCCATGTGTGGCGGCCTAGCACCTGAAAATCCTTTCCGCAGTACGAACAAACCACCGAAATTATTAGAAGCCATAGTAAGCGAGGTCGCAGCATAACGATTCTGGCTCGGTTGAATACAATATACTAATTCGTATCTTTAAATAAGCGTTGTAGACATCCAGGCTGTTTGAAAAATCGAAGAAACGAGATCGTGTACAATGTGCGTGTGAACGCCACTGCTCAACGATAATCATAATAATAATAATAATAATAATAATAATAATAATAATAATAATAATAATAATAATAATAATAATAATAATAATGGAAACTTTTCATTTTGAATTCCTGTTAAAACTACAATTACAAATCTCACTATTACAAGGTAATTTGTAACTGGCTAGCCTGTGTTTACAAAATAAAAACTATTACATCGTAGTAATGAGAAAAAAAAATTGTTAAAAGGGGTGTAGCTCTGGATTAGTCCAAGTTTTGTTTCTACAGCAGAATATATAGTATGTGGTGCGAATGGAGATGCTTGTAAGTTTGGAGATGAGGTAGCGTTTCTGTTGATGATCAATGGACAAAGAGTCACACATGTCGATGAATGAGCTGCAGGAGTCGCCAAAAATACCAAGTGAACTGATGGAAAGATTGACAAACGAGACTGACTTAAACTGACGTTTTAAGTCAGATACGAGGGTGGCATATTTCCCTGACTTTCTGACAGCATTGCAGTTGAGATTTGTTTCAAAGCCTATGGTTAGCTCTAAAACGTACAGACAGTTTTCCTTAGTTTTGAGAAGTAAGTCAGGGCGTAGTTGATCTCCAGTTATGATAGAAGGGGAAAGAAAGCCTGGTAAATCTGCGTAGAGAAAAGACCCATTTATTGCTTGGAAGGAAGTGGCTAGAAAGTTTAATGCAGAATTATGACGCCAAGTATAGCGTCCTTGGTCAAGGTACACTTTGCATCCAGCAACAACGTGTAGAAGTGTTTCTGGAAAAAGACAGAATTCACAGTCAGATGTTTGACTAAGGTTCCATTTCAGCAGATTTTTACGAGTTGGAAGAGTGTTGTTAAGATACTTGATGGTAAAGTTAAAGATGTTACTAGGCAAATTGCTCTGTGTACTTGACCAAATAATAATTTTTTTTTTAAACATCTCATTTTCATTGAATACATTTTAAATCTACAATTATACGACTCGCTTTTACAGGCATCATATAATTGGCTTATCTGCATTACAATATTTAAAAGTCAATTAGTTCGGGGCTTAGCCATGGTTTGTTGCGACGACAGAAGATATAGTAGGTGCAGCGGATAGAAATGTTCATGAGTTTCATCAATATGGATTTAGTTTGATTTGAGTCAAAATTAAGTTGGTGTAGCATGTCAGAGAGAGAGGTAGATGAGGTTCCCAGAATGCCAAGGGCACTCATAGAAAGGTTAACAAAGGTAACACGTTTATAGGCAGGGCTCAGTTCCTTGATAAGGTCGCTATATTTCCTAGCTTTTCGTGTAATAATAATAATAATAATAATAATAATAATAATAATAATAATAATAATAATAATAATAATAATAATAATAATAATAATAATAATAATGATAAATAATTTGTTTAAAGTTGGCGTACTAAATGAGCGTCTAATAGCTATAAAGAAGCTAATTAAGGCCAACTATCTATAAAGAATTAGTATGAAATAAATATATGGTACAATGCTAGAATATTTTAAGGTATAACATTCTGAGTAAAACCTAACCCAGCAATAAATATTTTACACAATCTACAGTCGCATTCTACAGGGTGTGCTCTTAATTCTTTTTTAAATGTTGCCAATGATTGGGAAAAAATTTCGAAAAAACTCGGACACTAAAAATTCGAAAAATCTCGGACACTACAAATTCGAAGAACTCAGACACCATGATTTGAAACTCAAGCAACACTTAAAGAATTGATCACCAACAATCATGATTTCAACCACCTGTCAATAATTCTGGACCCTAATCATATAAATCTCAATGTATGGTTTCCTTTTCAACCACCTTTTGTCCACTACGGCTTGCCATATTCTTACTAAGACCACTAAGCCACTGCTTTGTAAGCCATTTAGATGAAGGATTGATTTGCTGGTAATAATATTCAGAAAGATATCGTTCATTCTTCAATTTTTTATCTGGAGCTAACATGTTCACCGAAAAGTTATTCTTATTATGAAAATGTTGTTTCCGACCATATCTTTGATTTGAGTATGGCGCCAATAAGTAATGCTAAAAGTGATTATAAGTTACGCAAAAAGATCAAACTATAAGGCAATATTCTGAAAAGCCACGAACACGCAACAGTGAAGAGAATTTGGTCCACTCCTACTGTTTTTTTCAAACTCGATGAAAGTATAAATCATAAAAATAAAGGCCACTGATCATTTTAAGCCTTGAAAGCATCTTGGTAAGTGACCAGAAGTCGCTTTACTGGAAGCATGAAAAATGCACGGTCAGCAAAATTGCGACATTCGAATTTTTCAAATCTGATGATACCATCAAAAAAGCTTGTAACGTGGACGTGACTTCCGGTCTTGTGCCAGAAGGTTCCCAAGGCTTAATGATTCAAACCTTAAAAATTTCGGTAAGGCTGGTTGCTAGATGGTTATGCAAAATTTCCTGTCTATAAAATATCTATTCTCTAAAATCATGTAGTCAATCTGCAGCATTTATTATGATTTCTTCTTGAGAACATCGTAAGAGTTGACTTCACTTAGCTTTAGCTTCGCATTAACATTATTTTAGCATTATTTCTTTCTATTGAATGCACCTAAGACTATAAGTGACTAGAAATACAGTATGACTGTAGTATGAAAAATCTATTAGACAACTGAATTTACTGGTTGTTTGTTAGGGCTCTTGGTGGTTAGTAGAGCCAAAGAAGATGTCCTAAATTCAAAGTTAAAAAATCCTTCAAGTTTAATGTCTCTTCCAGGCATGTGTATAAAATTGGCCTCTTCAGGTTGTACCCCCAACGCAAAAGACTTAAGACTATCAGTTTTGGTACATGTATGTTTTTCGCGTTTCTTTTTAGTTGTTCCCAAAAAATAAGTTGAGCAAAACAAAGATAAATATTTCATCCAGTGTCCTTAGATTCCCCTTAAACTCGGCAGGTGATGACCCCTAGCCCCCCTTTGGCATGGGCCCTGCACTAGAAATTGGCTTTCGGTCTTGAGGTTGTCCATCTCTGGACTATGGCTACCAGTCATAGCACGAAGGCCTAAAGATCGAACTTTTTCATGAAATGCTTGCTTTGGTCTTTTGATTGGACCAAAGAGGGCTTGCAAAGTGTCAAGCTTGCTCTCCAAGGTTATCACCACCTCAGAAACAAAACAATTGGTTATTTCAACGGCTTTCTCGACCAATCAGCTTCAGGTATTGTTGTTTGTAGAGGTCGGTGGACTTTGGCTTCATGCTTCCCGAAGGGTAATCTTCATCTGCACAGAAAATTTGCAGACAGTGAAGAAAGGAAATTTTGCCAGGGGCTTTGGCTACAGGAGAAACAACCAATGAACCGAAGAAAGGATTTAAGGATCTTTCTGTAGATAAAGCATGACTTCAGCAGCTGCGGTACAGTTTTTTGTCGCTTATGATGCCACAAAAAAAGCTGAAGGCCTGGCGGGTAAACAACAGGAACTAATGAACAAAACCTGTCAAAGAAAAGTGTCTGGAAGTGCTATGTGCTTCACATTAGAACTGATAATGGTAAAGAAATCTATAAAGATTTCTCAAGCATATCGAGATGGTGGCTTTTGGACTGATAATTGGGAATAATAGAATGACGATGGTATGTAAAATTTATTTAAAGCTTTGTTTTTCTTGTACCAAGCCAAAGGACTAAAAAATAAAAAATACTTTTTTATACCTAAGTCTACATCCAGTCACGAAAAGTGATGGAGTTGCTTTTGTTTATTTCAATCTTACCTAGATTCGTTTTTTCTCCGAGGCTGGTAAGGCCAGCTATACGCAAAGCTAGTATTTGGATAAAAATAATTAGGTTCGTGAAAATTTGCTCACATCTGTAGCAAGTGTAAATTATTCAGGCCTTCAAGTTTTAGGCTGATATAGATGACTCATTTCATATAAATGTCCTTGGAAATTGTGTTTATTTTATCGTCTTTATGTAATTGTTTTTTTATACATATTGACTAACTCAAATATTATGCAATCAACTGATGCAAAATGATTTTATATTTTTTTCTTAGGGTATTGGCCAGAAAGAAGAAATGTTTTAATGCGCAGAAAGATTCCCTAGATTTTATGACTCGGGAAGAATTTTAAACCTGCAGGAAGTTGTAAACATTCATTGGCAAAGTATTTGATAAGCTAAACATTTCAATCTATTAAAAAGTTCTACGTGAGTTTTCTAAAAGCAAGGGAAAGTAGGCAGCACACAGTATATTCTAGGCTTAAATATTTTACTATGTTCATCAACAATTTGCCAATATTTGAGATAAAAATTTATGAATAATGTAACATGTATTAATGTATTTGTGCACCATAAGGGCCAGCTTTTAGTTTTCCTAGAGGGGGTTCAAAATTTGAAATGTAAAATACTATTATCAAAAAGAGGCTAATATTATTTGTAATGTGCCTGTGGTGAATTTTGATCTCAAGAATTTACGAAGAAACATGACCTTTCATCTTCACATCTAAGAGCACACTTTTTATTTATTATATTTACAAACAATGAATATGATGAATTTTGTTGTTTACTGAAAATCTGTTCTTAAACATCCCAAGGTGAGAAGGTCTCACAAACCCCAGGATGTTGAAACCTATTTTAAACACCTCTTATTTAAAGCAACATTTATTTATTTTTCTTGCCAATATAGACAGAAGAAACTTCTATAATGAACAACCAAATAATTGAATGATATGGTCTACCTATTCAAGCATACTTACCATAAAGGAATTAGGTCCAAAGCCTTTTTTCCCCAAGGTGTATTACATAATTTAATGTGCATTTTTGTAGGTCATTACAAAAGAAAGGACCATAAGAAATAGCTACAAACTAATAGTATGTAATATATAGCAATAGTGTAATACCAAACATAAATTTTTTTAGAAAAAATAGCACAATGTAATATATATAATGTTTTATAGATAAAATTTTCAAGATAAATATTGATGATTTTTTTCTCTTGCCTTTTGTAGGAAATGGAGAATGAAATTTAAATTTTATGTGTTCAATGTCCAGGCTTGAAGTCCAAAAATCTCTTTATTCTTTTGATTTCAACACAATGGAGAATTGAACATTCAAACTTTAAATGTTTTTAACATCTACACCAATGACAAATGACCACTGACAGTTTTTTAAGATCATTTCATGACTACTGTAAAATCATTTGCCTCCTGGCAAAAATGGTTAGCCACTGAATGTATATCCATTGATAGTAGGAGGAAGTGGCTGAATGGGGATATGGAAGGTGCTGTTAAGGTCAGGAAAAGTCCCTCCTACTTTGATTGTTGCTTTATTGAATACACAGAAGGAGCAGCATTAGGTTGCAGAATCAATACAACTCTCGGCTCTTGGTTTTAAGTAAATTGACATGAAATGAAAAACCTTTCCCAAATCTATCAAGCTCACATCTTCCCTCCAATGCGGTTAATTTATTTTCAAATTTTTGTTCTGTAGTATATTACCTCTTATATTACAACATTCCATAGGGATTTGCTATCTTTCTGCTTATTTTTTACAATTTCCTTGCTGGCATATCCGCAAAACTGATTGGGTCTTGGGTAACAAAAATTAAAACACTTATTTTTAACCCTGGAATGTACCTCAAACCTCATATATGGTAACCACATAACCTGATCTAATTTTTTTTCATTAGTTTGCAAATAAGATTGCCAGTGTGAAGTGATTCAGATGATGTGTTGGATTGGTAACTAGATTGCTGAATCTAGTTAAATTTTTTAGATTTTTTAGAAATAGCAAGCAAAATGAAACCACTTGATTGCAGAATACAGATGACTCTCGGCATAACATTAAGTACAAAAAATTTCTGGCACCAGATTTTTGGCACTGGATTTTTTTGGTACTTAATGTAGTCACTTTGCTTAAAGTCACACTGCTAGTTATAGTCAAATAAAGTAAAGAATCTAATATGCAAAATTCTGCAAAATTAAGCTCCATTTACAGTCACACTCTGTTTGCAATAACAAATTTTCAAGCAACATTTTGTGTGACTGTAACAGGAGTCTACTGTCTCCATCAAGACTCGGGATCAAACCACAAAAGATTCAAGGATCAAACCACCAAATTTGTTACTTTTTAAATGATATCACCAAAGGAAGAAGAGGTACAAAATTTTACAAATACTTGACTACTGATTCATTAGCTACAAAAATTTACAAAATCAAATCAAATCAAAACAGACCAGTTGAAATAGTGATATGGGCAGTTACATCCAATAGTGTTCATTTTATGAATATGCAAATCTAACAAAGAAATATTATGTAATATTTAAAAAAAATTATTTTGGTTCCAGCAATTTTAATATGGAATTGCAACAAAATATACTTAAATTAGTTAAATTAAGTTGAACCAATAAACCAAGAAATTGCCCAAATAATTCAAATTTTGCGTATTAGTCCCTGACTATGTTTTGGTTGCCAGGTGTGTTGTATCTTTCAGGAATTCTTGATTTTTTCTGCATTATAAGAGCCATTTCCTCCTCAGACCCAGGCTGTACTGACATCATTATTTCTTCAACTTTCCTTGCATAGGCCAAATCCTCTTTCCTCTCTAGGGAGCCCCTTTTTGGTTTGAATGGCTCTAAGAGGTGCCTTGAAATGAAAACAGTAAATACATGAAGCAAAACTAAAGAGATAGAAATAGGGTACAGTTACTCTTTGGTGTACCGATTAGGACACATTTTTAAGTTGTAACTCCAAGTTTCACACTAAAAGTGATCTCAATAAAATTATATGTTAAATGAGGAGTAGAACCTTGATAACAAAAATTAATTCAGGAAGGACAGGTTGTTGGTGTCAGGGGTCGATGTAAAATCATGTCAGCTGATTTTTGTGTGTGGACAATAATAAAAAAGAGCTTGATGGAGTACTGCAGAGGTTGCAAAAACCGAAAATTTGTTCAATTATGATACCAACATTGTTTTCTACCATGTAACAATAGAAGCAATATGAAAAACTCCACTTGAAAGTACAAATATAGCTCAAACAGAGAATGGAACTGTTAGATGAAAATATTCAGCAGAGAAACATCAACAGAGTTTTCAATGAAAAACAGCAGGGTTGCCTAAAGTAGCTTGAGATAGATTGGCTAACCATCGTCTCTGTATAAATGAAACAGCACAGTAACATCGACAGTGCTGAGAAAAGCACAATGAAGTAGAAAGGATTGGCAAATTGAAAAACCAAGTATATTCACGCTGGGGGGGGGGGGGTGTAGTGTAGGGGTGATAACTGTAGCTTGATCAAGGCACGAAAATTGAATGATTTCCTACTTTCTAATATATGACCTACTTTCTTCCAAAACTTTAAGGCTGGATTGTTTTCAATTTGCTCTTTAGTTACGTGGGTGTAAATCAAAAGAATTTAGATACGAGAAAATATCTCACAATATTTCAGCATCAGCTTGTTCTTAATTTGCTATTAATTTTTGATCAGTTTTGAGGCTCATGTTCTTATAAAAAGACAAATGAGGCTAATTTTCCTATAAAAAGGGTGTATGCGAGGAAGAATAGGAGTCTTTGTTATAAGGAACCCTCAGCAGGCGTCAACGATTACACCACATCACATCAGATCCATTGAAAAATGCATGCTATATATCGCCTGGAAGGGAGCTAAACAGCTGCAAAAGTTCTGATAGAGGTTCCTACTTCAAATTAATTTTTTCAAAACTGCACCATTGGTATGATGGTACTGCACCATGGTGAGTCTGATAATGTTCATCGTTGGGCGAGTTAGAAAAGCCCTCTTTTGTTAACGAAAAACGTCATCATTCTTATCAAACCCCCCCCCCCCTTAGAGTCCAACTTATTATCTATCTACAATGCCTGCCAATCATACTTAGAAAATGATTTGCGCTGTGTTTTCGTATTTTTCAATTCTTTTCCTGAATATTTCTACTTTTGCATCGTCTTCCCCCCAAAAAGCAATGTTGATAGTATAGAAAAATATCAGAGAAGTCGCATAAAAAAGGTACTTCCTAATCTCCTACGCCTTTTGTAGCAAACTAACACAGTTCAAGGGGAGTAGGGGGATGGCTGAAATAGGCACTGAAAACTGACGTTGGTATACCAAGACAATAGACAGGCATTGTATTGTTACATGAGCAATTTAGAAAGGTTGTGGCAGTTTCAGTGTGATTATAGATATATGGGCGTCTTAAATGACAAATTCCTCGCATGATTTTTGTCAAACTGACAAGCGCGTTTTGCAAATAGAATCCAATAGAAAAACAGAACTTGAGCATCATTGAGCATGAAGCAAGGGTCGCAGAGGCTTCAGATCTTCACCCCAAAAAAGTTTCAAAAGTACATTCATTCATCCACATCAACTTTTCTTTTTTCTCTAGGTGGATCACTATGAAGGCTACAGGTTTCAAGTCAACACGCTTTTAATCCTTGTTTCAAGCATTTTCTGTCTTCTTCCTTGAGCTCTTTCTTGACATTCTGCCTTCTACAACCGCTTTCAACAAATTATCCAGTCTACGCTTATGCCATATCCGTTGCGTCTTTCTTATAAAGTTGGTATTTATGATGGCATTTTTAATCAGTATGCTCACTACAGCATTCAAATTCCGCACGAATTCAGCTAGCGTTCACTTCCTTTTCACTGATTTTGATCTCATTGGATGGACCAATGTGAATTTAACAGAACTGTTTATCAATTTACCCACGGACCCTTGATCCATCTACAAACCATTAGTGTTTTTGGTAACAATTCTCAAGACGTACCTCCCCCATCCTTTGGAAGAAATCAAGGCTTCTTGATATATTGTTCAAATAAAAACGCGGGGAATCGAATGGAACAGTTTGGTGTACAAGCCACAGAATTCTATGTTTACAGGTACAATTCAAGGAAGCACGGAGTGAGGAGTGAAAACATAAAAAACAAGAGAGTCATACAAAAAAGCCAGGGGCCAATTTCCAATACGTTTATGCGTATTGGACCCGAACAGTACTTTTCACGATGTATTGTTTAAAATTGTAGACATCAGGTATGTTAAGCTTTTTTCGAGATGGTACCAAAACAAATAAAAATAAACATTTCTTTATATAAAAACTATCTTACCTAGGTAGTCTGGACTTCTCCCCTCTTGCTCTCCTAACTTCGGGACTTGCCGGTAATCCACACGAGGCTCCTTCTGCACCAGTCTTGCTATTCTTTGACTTCTTCGTTGCTGGTGATGACTCACAAGCATGATTTTCATTCCATTTTCGTTTCATAGTTGTAGAGCTTACACTCAAGCCTCTGTTTGCAACGCCATTTAGTTTCACTGCATAAATTAAAATGTTCTGGCTGAGACTGTTTCAACGAATAACCAGATCGTCAAAAACTCTTGAATGTCCTCTTTATCATTGTTAAAAGCATCATTCGAAGAACGTGGCGTGAAAAAGTACCAAAGTAATAACATTTACTGATTTGGGATACTTCACTTCAAAAAGAAAACTTCAGATGAAGGATATTTCTTCAAAAATGAGCCTACAGGCCAGTACCATGTTTTGAGTGTTCATCATATCATATCATATCATATCATATCATATCATATCATATCATATCATATCATATCATATCATATCATATCATATCATATCATATCATATCATATCATATCATATCATATCATATCATATCATATCATATCATATCATATCATATCATATCATATCATATCATATCATATCATATCATATCATATCATATCATATCATATCATATCATATCAATCATATCATATCATATCATATCATATCATATATCATATATCATATATCATATATCATATATCATATATCATATATCATATATCATATATCATATATCATATATCATATATCATAATGATATCATGACATAGCATATCATGCAATATTATAAAATATTTCATTATATTATAAGGCAATATAAAATAATGTTTTCGTACAAAAACACAAACCTTGTCCGAGTACTTTCTTTACTGCTGGCCTTTCAGGGTTCCGATCAATAGTCTTGTCTTGGCTTGCTATTGAGTCATTCTCAGCTACGCATTCACCGCAAATCATGTTGTCTTTGTAGCCAATTGGTACGGGCTTTTCGGCTGGCTTCAGAACCAGTTTTTGTAAATTTGTTTGTGTTAACTGTATTGTGGGTAAACCTCTTTTCAACACAAGTCTTCTCCACCCACGTGACTGTCGGACAGTTCCATGACAAACACAGTGATTAACAAGGGACCTCTCAACTGAAATTTCATATTGAAATAAAAGAAGGAATTGCGTTTGTTTGAATAGCACTACAAAAACACACAATATGAAGCACCGGTACTCGACTCTGGGTTTTGGCTGGCTTTGTGAAATTTTATGGAAAATACATGAATTTACGAAGTATTAATGGCGTGACCAAATTGACAAGATCTAAAAATTTCACATGAAAAAGATCCCCATCAAAGAATAACATTGGAATTTCACCTTTAAACATATATCTGTACATTATATATATATATATATATAGGTGTAAACATTGCGCAGAACATACCTTTGAGGCTCTCCTTAGTTGAATCAGTTGCTGGGTTGATTTCAGGCGAGTTTTCTTGTCCCGTTTCTTCTGAGCTTCTTATCAAATATGTTCCTCTTCTGTCTCTATTTCCTCCACAATTCCTATTGAAAACGGCGTTTTCAGTGGTGCTCTGCACTCCACCATACTCGATCTCCGCATCAGCTTCAGTATACTGAGCAGTATCAGGCGCTCTATTTCCGAAAGAATCATCGCTGCCTCCAGCAAATAATGAGGAGCTCTCTGCTTCTTCACTTTCTGTGCTTTTGCAACTAACAAATGAATTGTCATCAGACGATTCTTGTGAGCATTCTTTAACGAATGGGACTGGTGATGTTTTTTTAGCAGTGTTGTTTTGTACCATTGTGATCTGAAATGTTCTTCTCCTATCGTTCCCTTGAACCTTCACTATGTTTTGCAAGTTATTTTTGATACAAGCCTTCTCAACAACGTGTGTTTGCCGTCTGTTTAGAACGTCATCACTTTTTACCGCTTGAGAGCACTCGTTAATGTATTCTCCTCCCCCTAGCATATCCTCGTCATTTGGATTTCCTGATTCTTCAAGCTCGAGTGTACTATCTTGCAGATTTACATCAAACGTTTCGTTTGGGTTACTGCTTTGTACTACTTTATAACTTCCATCGTGTGCCTCTGAATCCTGATCACAGTCGGAATATATAACAGTCGAATTAGCCTCTAAACAGCTACCCCTCAATAACCATCCTGAATCGTTGACAGTTTCATCAATTTCTCTTCCAAGACTTTTACGAACAGGTGCATCAGATATCCCGTGGTCTTCATCGTAGCTTACGGTGTCATCTAAATCATAACAGCATTCACTGTCATTCTTGTCAATATTAGCTGACCCTTCTAAAGAATAGCTGCCCTGCTGCCTTTTACCCAGCTTTCTTTGGCAGTCTTCGACGACGACACTCGGGCTGTTGTTCACCAACAACCTTGACTGCCCAGCGTGATCTAATGAAGAGGTTGAATTTAAGCGAGGCGAGCCTCTGACTAAGGGGCTGATCATTGCTACTTTCAGTTCACTGTTAGCACCGTCCGTCGAAGACAGTCTTTGAGACAATGAAGGGCTTACAATGTTTGTTTCAACGTCATCAGCAGACTAAATAGAGTGAAAAGAATCAATAATTGACCAAAGCAATAAAGCTGAAAAAGTAAGAATTCAAAACCGGAAAATTCACAGCCTTGGCATTGAATTGAGCAGGCAAGCAACCAAAGAGCTTCGCTGTATCAAAAACCTAAAGAAATTCAGAAAAACAATCCATTGATATTTAAAATCTTGTACACATCGCAAAATCTAGTAAAATGATTGGAAATGAAAAATTTTCATTCAAAGATAGATAAAACTGATGAAAAGTTGCAATTCCTGTATAATAAAGTTATATTTTTGCATGCATATGCAGTCGAAAACGGAAAAGTGCCAATAACTAACCAGTTACTTCGTGGCATTTAACAAATTTGGAAAACCAGTTGAACACTTGAGGAAAAACACGAATGCAGAAGAAATAAGCACATTAATACCACGCCATTGCAGCTACACCCTCAGAGGGAGAGGTATTTTTAATTAGCATTATAGATTAAACAGTTCGAAAATATATTCGAAAACAGGTCTTACCACCGCAAGTTTCCCCGGTATGAAAACATTGTCACTGCCAACCGACTGTATTCGACTAGCAGACTCTTGACTACTGTTTGAGGCACTTTTTGCCTTGATGTACTGTTTGTGCTTCTCATCTGAAATACCGTCGGTCAAAGCATTGTCACTGTCACTTTCATGCTCATTTTTTCCTTTCCGTTTCTTTTTCTTATTTGCCTTTTCCTTAACTGCATGCTTTCCAGAAGCATTTTGTTTTTTAACTACCTTTTCTTTTTCAATTTTCGATTTCTGTGAAGGCGAAGAAGTAGAGCCTGCTTGGGCAAGATTTTGAATTTCGTTGTCTGCATCACCAGGTTCTTGGTTGTCTTTTCCACTTGGCAATGATTCAAAGTGCTCTTGAAGACGCTCAATCAGCTCAGTATTCTACAAAAATAGAAATTTTAAAATTAACTAAGTTCATAATGCTGTATAGCATTACAGTCAGAGTTGGATATCATTTAATCTTGTTTTAATTCAAATAGATATGAACAAGAGTCTGCACAGCTGGTGCTTAAGAGAATTAAATAGGTAGTGCTATGGTAGTTTAACAATCTAATTGTGGGTTCAGTGGCGGACACTTGGGGGGGGGGGGCGAGGGGGGGCGACTGCCCCCCCCCAATACTTTAGAGGACGATGGTCTTTTGCTTTAAAACAATGGGAATGTGACGTCATCTTATTAAAACAATATTAGGCTTGCCCCCCCCAATATTTGATCAAGTATCCGCCCCTGGGTTCAGATGTATACAACTGTTTTTGGACAAACAAATCACTTTATCCCCTCTAGGACAAGTGGAAAGGCTGTTCAGGATAGTTGCTTTTGAGATGTGATAAGAAATCTAAAATGATGAAGAATTGACGAGCAGCTACCACAAGTGGAAAGGCTGTTCATGATAATTGCTTTTGAGATATGATAAGAGATCCCAAATAAAGAAAAATCTATGATCAGCTGTTTGAAAGACCATTCATTCAATCTTATTTATACATGGTACCTATTCAGTAAAAAGAAAAACTATATTTATACAATAAAAATCTGCTACATATATAAATTAACAAAATTTATAAATCCATAGCTATATAGAAATTCTGAGGACTTTAAGCTCAAATTAGATTGAAATAGATTTTTGACCAGAACCTTTTGATGAGGGGCAAAAACCTTTCTTGTTATAAGCTCATAGATTAGGTTTACATATATACTTGAGATAAATGTCTTTGAAACAAATGAATTGAAACCTTTTCCATTCTGTATGTCAATCAGTTTCACCAGCCTCAGAAAACAATTGATAATCCCAAAACTGCTCCTTGTAACAACTGCTCAAATTTTCCATTAATTTATGAAAATCTAGCATTCATTTATGCAAGCTGAAAACATTATAATTCTTGACCAGACTACATATCTCCAATTTCTAGTAAGCTGTTTCATAAAAACAGAATAAAATATGCTGGATTTCTCAACTTTGAAATATCTAGCCTATTTAAAATTGATTCCATTTTAATTTGTTTGAAATAAACTAGCTATTGGCAAGCTGAATTACTTTTGCAAATGGTATAACTTTTTTTCTTTTTAAAAATTTTCTTGTCTGGTTTACTGAGCTTCTTGGCATGGAGTGAACGTTGCTCTGAATAGGTAACAACAAACTACACTAATGGAATGTTGTGTGTAGAGCTATTGGTTGCAGCCTTCAATGGCACAGAGTATTGTTCAAGTCTTTGAAAATCAGCTAGCATTACATAATTTAATTTCACTTACAAGGTAAAATCCATATTTTCATAACCCCCATGAAATTGAAAACATTGAAGAAAATATGCCTACTTTTGCAAACCAAATGCTAATACTTTGACTTTTTCATTCAGTAAATTCTTCCTCCAGTTACATTTAGCTTGGTTTATGCGTCTATGTTTGAACCTAACAAAACTGCATTAAATTCTGCATGAGGTAATGGTGAAGTCCTGAACTACACTCAAGCCATACCAATTTATATTTAGGCTATAGCAAGTGAAACTTCTAGCCAGCTGTCCCTGACTATAGCTTTTGGCATTATCTGGGATCAAGTTAATATTGCATTTGCAAAATCACATGTTTTAACAAATTACAATAAAAGATAAGAAAAATAATGTATACAATGAATGATAAACTGTCAAACAACGGTGATGAAATTTTGGTGCTCAACTTTGTTTGGGTTTCTTGAAATGCAATCAGGACAAAAGTTGCACAACAGAAAGTCCAGTTATGGAATAAAACGGTGTTATGATAGTTGTAAGTTTGCCTTGGCAAGCATCGTAAAAATTCTATGAATACCACTTTAATATATATTATCCTTATTATGGAATCGTGGAATTTCTAACTAGTTAGTTGCTTCTCAAGGCCAGAAAAACCTAACCTTTCAAAAATTCGCTTAGGCCCATTAAAACTCTGTTCTGGCAGGCTGATACTCAGTCAAATTCTTTTATTGAAAAGCTTTTTGGTTGAGCAAGAGTAGAAGATTAGGAGCGTTAATCGTTGCTTATTTAGCAAAATTCAAGAAGGCGAAATGTATTCGTAACATCCAGATAACAGTCAAATCTTAAACTTATGATCAACCCAGCGACAAATTAAAATTATATTAAGTGAATGCTTTTTCCACATACTTTACCGGTTGCTTTGAGCTTGTATGTCTTGCACAGCTTCTGCAGTTCTTTCCTCTTTAAATTACTGACCTCCATCAGCGAATCCTCGACTTTTTACGCCTCGACAACTGACTTTTTGAGGACTGATTACTGATTTGTTTTCCCCGCCAGTGGGACCAGCATGCATTTCGGGCAAAGTGTGACGTCATGGAAAAGACATTTTTAATCATTTCTGAATAACCTAACAGAAATCCATGAAATACATCCAATTTTACAAAATAAGTTGAATACTTCAAAAATGGGATGAAATATGTCCAATGGAAGATAAAATTTGGCTAACGGGTTACTGCTACTTTCACTCTATTCATAAAGTCAGAGCATGTGCTCATGTCGCCATATCTAGGCCAATTCGGAACACATTTTACTGATTTTTCACATCAGAGCAAAGGTAAACGGACTACAAATCGAGACTTTTGAAAGAGGTGTAGCGATAAAGTATTTACTCTGTTTATAGTGATGTTAATTTAAACTGTTTATCTCAGCTTCACATTGCTACATTGCGCCATGCTTACTCAGCCTCTCTCGTTTCTTAATCTAGAACTTTCCATCTCCATTACATCATCATTACATCATACCCACACATCCTTCGTCAGCAGATTTATTTTTAGAGTTAAAGTATAAATAATCGTAGATCAAGTTAGTAAGCTCTCTTGAATTGAAGCAAACAGAACTCGATTTTCTCTACGCGTCTTCTCAACACACCAACGGGTGAGATCGTTTTAATTTACTTTTTGTTAATAGTTCTCAACTGAAGATAAAGGTACGAACTATTAAAGAGGGGATGGTGGTGTCGGATTAGTTGATATGGAATGGTGTGAATTATGTGGAATGGTGGAGGAGGGAAGGATGGCAAATGAGAGGGCGTGGGTGGTGGTCGTGGAATGAAAATGAAATGAGGATGAAGTACTATAATATGAAATAATGATAATTTTTAATCATTCACACCATTCCATATCAACCATTCCGACACCACCATCGTCTCTTTTTAATCAGTACATTTTTAGTCCGTTTACCTTTGCTCTGATGAAGCCCAGTATGCCGGGGCGATATATGCCTTTACTAGTTTACGTGAATTTATTGTTGTTCATTCTCATCACATTGCGGTGTTTCTTATTTGCTACATTTTCCTCGATTTTTCGCCGCAAAAACTCCTTGGAGTCCGTCGAGCAGACTGCTATCGTAACCTTTTCTTTGTTCACAAAGGGGTATATGCCCCTTTGGCGCCATCCCTGCTTGATTATGATGTGAAAATCAACGATATTAGGACACTCCTAAACACAGAATTTACTGGGAGACGTCTAGGGTAAAAAAACACAAAAATTCCTATAACCTTTAAATCGAGAACAATCCAGAGATAAGGGAAAAGTGGAAAAACACCAACTATCTGGAAAAATATCTAAATGATATTAGGGAACGGAAGAAAAAGCATGCCATTAGACAGTGGAAGAATATACACAGAGACAGCCTTTACATTGGAAATAGGAGAAAATATTTTCTCTGTTCGACAAATTTTCTTAAACAGTAATATAAAAATATACACTTCAAATTACATTAAGCACATCACAAAAATCAATTTATGTTTAACTGATATAACTTACAATACTAATGAAGTAACTACCGACAATTTTCACCCGATACATATATATATTCAACAATAAAAAAACTAATGCGTAATTTACAAAGAGGAAACTACACAGTCTTGTATAATACAAGTCTCAGCCCAAGTCAATAAGAAATGATACACCTGATTGATCGGAATTGTGCACTACTAACAAGTCCGAACAAATCAGATATCCTGTCTAGCAAGATTTGGATAATAAAAAATCAAAACAAGTAAGTATCAAAGAAACATGTTGATATAGAAAATTCATAAAACCTTTATTAACCATGGGGACAGTCCAAGAATTCATTGTATCTTTTTCCAAAACAAACCTATGTTTGTTGCAATCAATGTATAAGACTTATTAAACTAAGTGAACCATCCTCGTTTACAATGAAGGTTTGTTGCCATGGTTAAATTGAAAACATTTGTTCAACAAATTACAATGCCTCCTTAAAGAAAAAAAAACTTGACATCATTAGAATTCTTTCCACCATCCCCTTTTAAACATTCAGATATCCTTATGATACATTGTGGAATACAAAACCATATATCGTTACCAGACGACTATATGAATGAAAAATACCAAGATTAAATTATATCAATTAATGTGTACTTTTAACTCTACCTATTTAGTTCTACTCTACAATTTCACGCTGAGATTTCCCGTGAAGCTTACATAAAAGCTGCTAGTCATATCTAGTACTTAAACAAAGTTTAACGTAAGAAAATTAAAATGTTTTTAAACTTAATACATATCCTCAATAAAATTTGGAACGACCAAGCCAATCTTTTGTGAATTTTGAGGCTGAGATTTTGTAACGTGATTTTTGAAAATCAGAAATAAGGAGTTGGATTTATCAAATGATTTACAAAAACTAATACAGAAAAAGTTCAAAAACAGTTGATATATTGTTTAATTCAGTATAGAAAAGGTCTGTTTGGACTAGAGATTGATGAACTGCATTGGAAAAATATTTTACTGTTATATTCACTAATCAAAATTAAGTCCTCGTACAAGAAAGTATGGGTTTACAAAGGCCTTTGATAATAACAATCATCAGGAACATTCTAATTGGAAATTATAATCGGATCCAAATAATATATGAAGGCTGCTAGCAAAAGTCTAGATCCGTCTATGTGGGTTTGGCATTATCTGCACAGTGAACTCTGCTTTGACAGGGAAGAAAGCAGTCATAACCTGTGATATCTTATTTGCTTACAAAGTATATTGGGCATCTACGGTACATACGACTCTCAAATAAAAAAAACAGAATACACATTTTCATTGATGTGCATTACATGAAAATATATTTTTGTTGATAAGTTAACACCAGAATGTGTTCACGTCGAAAAAATATGGTTTGCTTCAGAAATACGTTAAATCTAGAATATTCTCAGTTAACAATTAGACATGAAATGTGGTCTTAGGTTGCAGTCTAAATAAGAAGGAGAAGGTATGGTAAATGTGCAATAAGTCTCCCAGATTAAAATAAAATCTGTTGTGCGTCTCTAAATATCTACCATAATCTTAAATAAAGGCAAAAAAATTCCCAATATGAAGTCGTTCCCTAACAAAAAATTTTCTCACCCAACCAACGTGATACTAGAAAGCTAATCGTTCCTTCAACTCGAAAAACATAGCTCTGGAGCCTCAAAAGGAATTGCATTGAGTGACTAACCCCAATTTTTTAGAAATCGCAACAAAAGCTTTCACCTGTTACAAAAAGTTTCGAGTAATACTTTTCATTTGGTAAGTGATTTTCGTACTGGGGTTACTTCCATACCGGAGCTGTTGCCACATCGAAATGACTTTTGTACCGGGGTGGTTTGGGTACCACTTCCAGTCTAAAAAAATAATTCCGTGCTGATGGCTAGAAGCTCCAAATCAACCACAACCATACCAGTGTAAATCTAAGGCCTGTCTGTTTATGTCGAGCAATACGCAGGCCTTAATCACATGACCAAAATATACCAATCATATCTGCACATCGTTACCCATTTGAGTCACCACAGTATCTTTTTCATCTCCTGAAGGAAATTCATTAAGGACCAGGTCTCTTTGGCTCATATTTGAAGTTGAAGGTTGTAACACTGGATGGGCCGGGGGTTTGTAGGATTTGTAGGCTAGCACCAAAAACAAGAATGATAACAGCTTAAAAGAACCACCCAGTATGTAAAAGTAATACCTGAAAAAGAAACAATCATTTGTTAGATGCTAATTAAACAATAATGATTGAAGTGTAGAAAGAGCGGAAAAGAGAGCATAGTATGCAAATGAGGAAGCAATTGAAGAAAATATCCCGAAATATACTACAATACACAATACGTCATGAATTGAAAGATCAAAAAGGGGAAAACAGTGCAAATAGGATGTTCACCAGATTTTCTGGGAAGAACTGAATCGCAGGATAGCATATAGAATTGTAAACGATAAGCAAGAATACATAGCAATACAAAAAAAGGAATTCAGGAATCAGGATATACACTTTTTTAAAAAAACTATTTTAAAAAGACACCAGACTCAAAATTGGTCAAAATTTGAGAACAAATTAAGATGAAGCTGAGGCTGAGCTTCTGTAAAATGTAATTTTGAACAATGCTTCATCTCAAAAACGAGGAATTTTTTGCCATCTAAGGGTGCTTTTTCGTTGAATTTTCAAACCTGTCGGCAAATAAAATACGTCTCACTCACTTTATTGGCAAATGAGACCTGAACACCCCATGGGGCACACTAGAAGCAATTGCACTGTTTACACCCTAATAAATTAAGTACAAAATAAGAACAATCCAGCTTCAAATTTTCGAAAAAAAATAAGAACAGCCAGCCTGAACTTCAATTTACTGGTTCTTATAAAAAGAGACCTTACAGCGGCTGTACTGGTCACTCAGTTTAGTGGTAGTTGTAATGGTGGACATGTAATGGTCGGAGACCAGTTTTCTCATATCGTGGTGCTTGAGTTTTGAACCACTTGACTTCGGGTGTTTAATAGACATCAGGCATTTAAAATAATTTCTATTGCAAATGCTCTATTTTTATCTAGTTCTGTAATTAGAACAGGGTTTTTACCTGCACTTAAAGCAGTCCCTTTTGACTGACGGGGCAGCCGTGAATGAAGAACATAAAATCAAAAATGAAATAAAAGTTGTCATGGTGTTAGCAAAGTGACCAGTGAGCTGTGGTTGTTGCTAGGCAGCAAGAAGTAACCACAACTAGTTTTCACCTCAGTGTGGGAAATCTTAGTTTACAGCAACTGCCAAACCTTAAATGAAAGTTGTTGCAATTGGCTGAACTGGTCCATTAAAAAGCAGTTGTGTTTTCAAAGTTCATTTTACTTCGCCCTAGTCTTCACTTTAGCAAAGAAAATCTGATATCAATGATGCTCTTTTGTCTTAGTATTGGTTGCTATTCAATAACAAGAAAAACTTGAATTAAAATGAATGAAGATTACTGTTAACAGTTTGTGTAAAGGCTATTCCGCAACCGGCATGCTTTGCGAATATATTTCAAAACCGGCCTAATGCCGTAGTGCGTGAAAATACCAAATACAGTCCTTTTATCCTTAAGGAAGAAAACAGCTACCGCAAAGCATGCCGGTAGCGCAAGAGCCTTTAAGGGGGCTCTTTGTCATGGAGACACAGTTGCTTATGCTTCGGTTAACAAGTTGGGAGGTTCTAAGCCCAAACAGGCAAAAAATCCAAAAATTAACACAAAAATGAACTTTAAAATATGACCTTACTATTACCTAAAAAGAGCGTTATCATACTCCAGGCAGTTTCTGCTCTCGCCACTACCACAGCTGTCAATTTGCCAGAGTATACAAGCTTTATCTACCAATTTACCAAACAGTATAGGTCCAGGAATGAAGCCAAGAAATCGTATGAGAACCTGCTGAAATCCCAAAGCAAGAGAGGATTGGCTCTCTGGCACAACTCTGCAATGAAAAGTAATTTGTTCACAGAATAGTTCACAATGGTTCTGCTGGACGGAGAGTTACTACGGTAACATTATCATAGATTATCCGGGAATTGCAGCTATTACCTATCTTGCTTAAATGTTACCATCGTTTTTTGTGAGGCCTCTACCTCATTGACGATTAAATAAAGATATTTTCAGCATACTCTGAAAAAATTATGTGACAAAACACGATAAGAGAAATTGCCTGCAAAATAGAGGTTGTGTTTCTATTCTAAAACAAATGTTTGTGAAAATTAACCAGCTAAAATGGCAAAATACATTTTAAAAAACCATTTCGAAAGATAAAAAATTAAATGAAAAGAATACTTGACTTACCGAAAGGTAGCTTCGATCAAAGGCACGTTATTCAAAAACGTGCAAAACATGGTGAGTAGAAAAGTTGCCATAAACAAATACATCAAACCACATTCTGAGTAGCATCCGCCCTTTTTTGCCACATCTATGTCATCTGGGAAACAGGTACAGTTGAAGTATTTCTAAAACGCAAAAATAACTTTATAGAAAGGAACTCTAGACGTCAAATTTACATTACTGTCAGAACTGTCTTCTCTCTCACACTTCGAAAAAATGTCAGGGAAAAATGAAACAGCGACAATGATAATTATCGTGGCAGATGGTCAGTCATATTTTCTACAAAAAAATAATACAGAATAGCATTGTGGGAGAATTTGTGACAAAGGTGCTCGCTACTCAAAATAATTTTGAGGCAGTTCAGCCCCTGTTACAGAAGGGGACAGGCTTTAAAATTCTGCAAACAAAAGATTGGTGGGCAGTTTGTTGCATTGCTTACTTCTATATATTCAAGTTGAGATACCTTTTATAAGAATAGGGAAAACAGGCTTTCAAAAGTTAATCATATCTCGGGGGATGTTGCAAAGTTTGAGTGATCTAACTCTGAGCCAAAATTGACACGTATGAATAAAAACGAAATATCCAGTGAAGAGGTAAAATTTGGTTTAGTATCTTCCAAACGTGGCACAGTGTCTTCAAATGCTCATGGTTCCAAATTTTCTAAGGCCTGTTGAAGTTTTTTTGGTCACACATGAAAATATAAGACAACCAATCAGCGAATATGCTGTAAAAAACTGTCTCTAGCCTAAACATGACTGTATGTTGTCACAATCATTTGAAGATTGAATAGAGAGGACTACGTACCGTTCCAATTGTATTTTCTTTAGCACACCCAGCATGGCATGGTGAATAGTACATTGCTTGGTTAGACTTAGTGCAGATTGGCTTGTATGTGTGACTGCAAGAGCAGTTGGTACGACAGACAGAATGGATGCCACTAGTTGACTGCCTAATGGACAAAACAATCAACAATAAATTTTCCGGCACAGTTTTTATCAAATGCGCAATAGAGATAGTGGCATGCTACAATGCTGGACCCAGGTTGTGATAAACACCTAAAACATACGAGCTGGTTCGTGTATTGTCTACCCCCTGCCACCGTGAATTGCCAAAAGCAATTCTTCCAGACCTTTCAAAGAAACGTTTACTGAAAAGGCTTTTTAAGACCGATCGATTAAGGCAGTCATCGGATTGATCATATTTTTATTGGTATGCTGAACGTATATCAGCCTAAAGTACGGTAAAGAACAGAACGACGTTTTATTGATAGTTAGAAAAACCGACGTAAAAGAAAAATTATTACTTAATGCTACCTTCATTTAAACCTTGGATGAAATAAATAAGTCCTGCTACTAGAATTTTCCGCTAGGATTCTATGAAAATGACAACCGCTCTATTTAATTAAGGTCGTGCCCGGGTTGTTTTTTAAAAAGACTACTGCAATCGTGTGCAACAAGCAATTAGGATCATAGGGACTAAAAAGCGAACTCTTGGAATTCTAGCCCCTTTATACTCCAATGATTAAGAACAAAAGGAATCATTGGTAACGAAAAAGGCTTTACCCTAAATGAACACTGGACTAGGACCATGTCCAAAGTTAAAGGCACGGCCCTTCCACTATAGAATTTTTCTAACTCGCACACTTATTAACGTTACTAAAAATTAACAGCTCTAGAGTTTTTTCACCGAGCAAACAACATGATCAGGCCCTTGAAAAGGCAAATTATACGTTTGGAAGGCTTCGTGGGAGGCAGTGCTGACCTGATTGGAATGAATAGAACCGACTCTGAAAATAAATCCTATAAAACATCAAAAACGACCAGCGCCATTGCTTTGTTGGGAACTTCCAACGGAACACAGTAGAAAAGAGGAAAAGGCACTACACTAATTCCTGCTAATTAAAAATTAAAAATCGCTACGTCTTTTCAATTTCGCTCGTAAGAAATGTGTATTTACATTAAATTCATTGGTTAAATGCCATAGTCTGTGGAATTTATAATATAGGTACCGCCAAAGTCTCACCACAAATATGGATTCATCAAACCCAATCAATCGAAAGAACAAAGCACTTTGGGGAGATTTATGAATAAATCAAGTGAAGCAGCAATGTCTTCCAAAAGCTGGGCGCAGGGGCGTACCTTGACGATTTGGAGTGGAGGGGGGGAGGGGTGGTATAATCGGGTAAATTTACCGACCAAAATTCAACTCTTGCTAGTCAATGTATAAATTATTTTACAGTTACATATATATTGTGAATTTCAACTGTTTTGATCACAATCAATATGATCTTGTCAACTACGGGCAAATGAGATCCTTTCACGTGCTATCAAGATACGCATCTACCGACAATCCATAACATTTACCGACCATCCGTAAAATTTACCGACCAACTTTCCAAAAGTGGGAGGGTGTACTATCCCCCACACCCCACGGTAGGTACGCCCCTGGCTGGGCAAACAGAGATTTCAAGCAAGACTAGTGTAATGCAAAGGCTGGGCCGACCTCACAATTTGCAAACAACCTCATTCTACAAGGTCTAGCATGCTGAGACGCGTACTAACTTTGTCTCTGCGCTTAGCGTAATGCAGAGAAAAACAACGATCTGAAGCATGATGTAAGTTTGGCCGCAGAATGTTTCCAAGAGTGGCTACCCTTACATAATATGTCTCCCAAAAACTGGAAATATCCGTTAAGACTGTTATTCTGCTGAAAACAGTTTAAATGATCCTGACACGAGAATAACCTGCTTTTGTGCCGAGAATAAAATAGGGGTTGCAAACGTTAGGACTTGCAAGGGCATTGATATTCAGATTTAGGGAAAGAAAATCTACGTGAATTTATGGTTTAATGGGAGGTCTTTGTATAGGTCAAATTTCCAGATGTCGAGAGATTCAGGAGGATAGCCAGAGAAAGGCGTATAAACAAGGGAAAAGAATACCAGAACTTTCAAAATAGCAAAGGGCCTCTTGCGAAAAATGTTGCAAAAACAATAGCAAAAGTAGAAATTGGCTACTTTTCGGCATTAACAAGGGGGAGCCCAGCCCCTAAGCCCCTGCACTACACCCCTGAACGAGCAAAAATCTTCAAGTGCGTGAGGCAGCCCCCCGTCATGTCGTCAAAATGCATGCGCAATAACTATTTCGCTCCTAAAGCATGCTGTTTGACGACAAGACGGAGAGCTGCCCAACTCACTAAAAGACTTTTCCTGTTCGTATCTCCAAAAAACTTCCTTATACAATGAACAACACCCTTGCATAAAGACTGTGAATAAAAGAGATTATCTATGTCTATCATAAATTCCAGTCCCAAAGTAACAAGGAAATCACTTACTCTCCTCGATAGGCAACGTTGACTCCGTAGATTTTCTTTGTTCCACATCCAATAAAGATGGCAGCTGTAGCGACAAAGGCCAAGAAGGAAAACACCATTGACATTTTTAATGTTTTCTTGCAATTCCATTTGTACTTTTTCATCAAAAAGCCACCGAGAAAGATTCCACCACCGACTCCAGGAACCACTACGAGGCCAGTATAAAATGAGGCCGTAGATGATGAAACAAAGTATTGCGACTCAAAAAACTTTGGAAGAAATGTTGAAAATCCTCCCGTGGTTAAACCTTCAGTAGTTACTGCCAAACTGGTAAACATGAAGCATTTATTTAGCATTAAGGCCTTAATAGCAGGCAAAAGTGATTTAAAATTCGTGTTCAACACATTGGTTTCCAAAACAGTATCTTCTAGATTTTTCTTTTCCACTCTTATGTTCTCAGTAGCTTTGAATTCTTGTGGAAAGCCAAGTATTGGAAGGCAGACAAGAAGAAACAAACCACAACCAAAAAGATAGCCAATCCACCATGCTCCCACCCATATGCTGTCATTTGGAGTCAGATTTGAGCCTTCTGGCTACAAAGAGAATATAAATAAATTTCAGAGTAAACGCAGGTTTTGCGGTACAATGAGATGGAGGTTAAGTCTTAGAATAACGGGAAAGAAATTAATAATTTGAATTTCACTTGCTAGCTGGACTTGCTAGCTTCTCTCCGAATATTCCATTACATACAGTAGTCCGAATAAAGAGAGAGACGGCATGTAGTTAGGATGCGTCACAGAACATAACTGAGAAGGTCCTAAGTTGGCTAGGATGTAATAAGCCCGGTTTCATGTCAACAATAACATTTTGGCGCTATCGATCACGGTTCACGGAATATTCTCTTGCCAACAACCTTCCCCATTGGGAAGCTGGGTAATCTTAAACTTAGACCCTTAGCTATGGTTTTATCAACCAACACCAATGTTGATATTGATGATGTTGATTATCAGTGGCCTCAAGGCCGGGCTGTTCAGCGTCGGCCATACTACCCGGTTCTTAAATTTTTCACGCCGGTTGACTTTACTTATTTTAATACCTTTAATATCTATGTCCCGGTAAAATACAACATGGGTTAGGATGATTTTGAAGAGCTTAATGTCTCTGCACTGCCATTAGAGATTTCGCAACTGCAACCCCTATTTCCTTTCATTACTCTGTATAGCAGGCTTAAAAGTTTATCATGCAATAATTTATATATGGATTATAGGCAAGTCGTTAAATAAACGGTGTTTGGATACATCTGACTTGGCTTTCAGATCTATTGGTAAAGAACTCACTTTAGCCATCCAAGGGTAAACATGGACTATTTACTTGTGCTTAACATGAAAGGGCAAGACATACCTTGTGCAATAGGAGGAAAAAATTACTCCAAGGAATCTTGTACACCTTTGGTGAATATTCCTTTATCTGAAAATCCCTGGAAATCTTTCTGCTTTCATGGAAATCTCGTACGCTATTCGCAAGAGTGAATTGCCCCTTACAATAAACATAAATGACATGATGACCAGTGGCGGAAATTCAGTGGGGTTAAGGGGGCTCTGGCCTACGATTTTCTGACAAGATAACATCTTTGATGGAACATCAATCGTTTGTTAATTAGACGGTGAAAGCCCGAATTTTCCGACATGAATGCTGACTGGGGAGGGGGCTGAATCACCATGCCCCCATTATTCCCACCACTGATGATGCATAAATCATGCTGGAAGGGACGATGAGAAAGATGAAAGAAGGCTATAAAGTTAATGATGATGTTATGATAGACAATATAACCTAGAATGCCATTCATCATCTTTCAGTTCTTTTGTGTATTCTAATTATTAATAATTTAAGAGCTCCTTATGTTTTTTTATATCGTCCCGTCATAAGATTAATCCGAATTCAGTATTTCTTCGTATCGTAATATCACCTTCCACTTCAACTGCGGGAATGTACACCCAGTGTAACCATAGTCGTAATATTCTATTGACTATGGCGTAAACAAGCCTGGTGACCTGTTTTCTTCCCGGGGGATAGCAGGTAGAAATTGATAGAGTAGGGGCAGCAAAATTTTGCTAGTAGGGGTTCAGATTCCGTGCCAAAAAGGAAACTGACGACTCACTGTGGTAAAAAAATCTGAGCTTGTAGGGGACGTGATAAAATTGGAACGTAAATATTTTCTACTAAATAAATTTTCGATTGCTTTTGTTTTGCCAATGCTTACAAATGAATTGCAGTGATGAAAATGAACTGAAGAGAATGAAAATGAACTGAAGTGAATGAAAATTAACTGAAGTGAAGGAAAGTGAACTGAAGTGAATGAAAGTGAACTGAATTGGATTAAACTGATGTGGATGTGATGCTGGTGATGGACATAACATCGATGATACGGACGATCGATCGTAAGGTCACAATTTTCTACGGAACGCTGATCGCTGGAATTCGCCATTTTTTTATCGTATCAAAATCAGCATTTGAATAGAAATCGTGAAATTTCATCCTCCAGGAATCTAATTTTAGCAAAGCAGAAATCGGACCTGACCGCAGACTCTTATCACCTGATTAAACAAACATGTAAACCTTTGTTTACGACGGGAATTGTTTTTGAAAAGTGATCATTCATTTGTTCCTTTCTATTCATGTTTCTTTCTATTTGATTTTTCGAATGCACAGAAGCCAGCTGAATAGAAATACTTACCACCCGCAAAGAAAAGTTTCAGAAATAAACAATTTCCCTCTGCAGACAGGCAGAATATTTTGAAAAGAAGATAACAAAAGCAAAAATTTACCTGCTGCATGTCAACATAGGTGTTCAGTATAGGTTTTCCAATCAAGTATCCAATTGCAGGTCCAAAGGCGGCAAAAGCATACATAATTCCAATATATAAACTACTTTGGCCCCTCTTGGTACTTTCACTCAAGTGACTTGGCCCTAGAATATATATCGGCGTTGCACCAATTCCCATAGTTAAATAGGCCAGGCAAAATACTGCTAAATAATACCAAGCTCCACCTTTGCAATCGCTTGATTCCGATGGTTGGGCTTGGTACGTTGCATTTTGTAAACACCAGTCTGTATCCCTTACCACGCCAGCGTGGTAATCCCCAACCAGATAGTGAGGTACAGAGGCAATAAAACATCCAACAGCTAGTGCGATTGCACCAAGGCCTAGGCATAATGGTTTGCGTTTGTGGCCAAAGAAACTAACAAAAATCGACGATACACCGTAGGCTGTATCGTAAGAGCTGGAAAGTGCTCCTGCTTGAATGCTCGTAAAACCAAATCTCGTTTGTATTGACGTGATTATAATGCTCGAAACACCAGTTATAATCATTCCTTGAGTAACGACAAGCGTGCACAAAAAGAAAAGGAAAACAACAGGCCTGTTGAGGAACTGCAAGTTTTTGATATAAATCCCAAGGCAGCCATATTTCTTTTCAGGGTTCTTGATACAATTTGATTTACGTTTCTCCTTCAGTTCTTCCACGCCATTCATCTTCAAACTGTTGTTATTGTGCAGCCCCGTCCGATCGACGATAATTGACGGACATAAGCCGTGAGTAGATTTAGGTATACGAGGCATTTCTGACGCAATTTGTATTTGATTAATAACTAATTCATTCTCTCAAACTACAATAAGGTATTTTGTTTTGTGAGTGCTGCAAAAGCGTTGTCGATGACTGGTCAACCGTTTCACGTTTCCTTAACAACGCCAGTAGGGGGGATACTTCCGTGATATGTTGATTTACAGATGTCAGATTTTCAGGCAAAATTCACGTAAGATGGCACATGGCTCGAAAGCCCCTATGGGCTATTTCCATGTGTCATTCAGCTATAACTTTATAGATACAAATAATTATTTTAAATATCTTAACCTTATGTATTGAAGTATAACTGAAATTGTATCTTGATAAATTGTTTGACTAGATCAGTATATTGAAATTAAGCTGAGAATACACATGAAAATTGAAATTGAAATTGAAATTGTCGTCAAATTACGGCATACCGGGCTCCGTCTTTCCAATCGGTACTTCCGTGTCTGCAGAATCAGATTCAGAATCAGATCCAGATTCGCGTTCGCGAGTAGGTTGAAGATAAGATAAAGGGCCCAGTCGTCTCAAATATAACTGGCAACAAAATCTAATTCCTATTACAGATATCACCATACTAGTAGCTAGTATTTACAACAAAAATCAGTTGAATATCTGTTCTCGTTTTTCTGGAAAAACGGGGTTTATACCGACCGTTAGCTGCTCTGCGTAAAGGGGAAAAACTGATGAGGGCGGGGGATAATAAAAATGTTCTGAACGACATCATATAACAGAGCTCACGCCACTGGGAAGCCGTGGTTGCCATGTCCCCCACCACTTTTTTGCAAATCAAATAGTTTTAAAGCTGCAGTAAAAGGGGAAAGAAGCCTTGCCCCCTACTTTTGCTAGCCTTGCCCCCCCCCCCACTTTCAAATTCGTGGCGTGGGCCTTATATAAATAACTTTTTTAAAAAACATTTTGGCTTTTTTCAAGCTCACTTTGAGAAAGGAACAAGGACCACGGAGTATATTATAGATCGGGGGGGGGGCTAAAACCCCCGTAGCCCCCCGCTTCCACGAAAACTTTGTAAAAATGCTTCGTTTATTTCAGTTTTTAGCTTATTTCAGCCACAACCTTTTTTAACATAAAAGATCTGAAAGCACTATAAAGATAGGTCAAGCAATGGTAGATAAGAGCAAAAAGGGAGATTTCTGGAACATAACTAACAATAATATGGATGGTCGCCACCAAATTAAAAACCACGAGTGACGATTGCCTCTTGCTCCTCCCTAGCGCTCTTGAACTTTCCGCATTTTGGACCGAATCATGGCAAGTGACTGCTACGCCAAATTGATCTATTGCTACGCCAAATCGATCAGTTGCTACGCCAAATTGATCTGTTGCTACTCCAAATTGATCTGTTGCTACGCCAAATTGATATGTTGCTACGCCAAATTGATCTGTTGCCACACCAAAAGGTACGCCAAAAGGTACGCCAACCCTACGCCAAAAGGTACGCCAATGGCGTAGGCCGCGTTTGTCACAACCCCATCAAATTTGAGTGCACACCTTCGTACAACGTTTGATAACAATTTTGAAATAAAAGGGAACAAAAAATTTTTACAGGGCCCCCTACATACATTCTATCGTATAGCAACAATTCTATAAGAGCACCAGACGAGCAAAAAAGTTGTCAAATTTAAGACCAAGCCCAGTTACTATAAAACGTCTAATTACGTACGCCTTTCTATTAGCATGACCTTTAAAATAGTATAAATCATAAAGTCCTCGTGGCAGTGTAGGCAAAGCTCATCTGTACACGCTTTTGGCATTCAAAATAGGGAATATCATTTCCGAAAAGTTAATGACAAGGTATACATTTTTCTAACTATATCATATAACAAACCTGCATACTACACATCAAATAGCAAAATATTTTCCCTGGTCTGAATTTCTTTTATTTACGCTCTAAAGATTCAAGAACAGATCAACCCCCAGCATCAAAAAGTTTTAGAAAATTAAGAGCATGCAGTCTGAACCTCAATTTGCTAGTTCCTTATATGAAAGTGTACTTAATTGTGAAACAATTTCATACATGTATACAACATTGCTCCATGTGGCTATGCATTCGTATCTTACACCTAAAAGTATAGAAACGAGTAAAGAAAGGCACGTCATTTGAGATGTAATGCTCTTCCTGTTTATCAATTCTGCTATGAAAAAGCAATACCGAATACTGCATTTCCTTTTCCTATATGTGTAATCTCATGATGATGCATACGGGACCACTACAAAGATGTTAGTACAAAGACAATGTCTACATCATACACAACAAATGTTGTTCTTGAGAATAGGATTGACTCCTGTCTGAGTTTATTTAACTTGTACTCATTGACCGAGATACAACGTTTTGTTTAGGGGGGAGGGTGGGCAGCCCTGATAAACAAGTGTAAAAAAAGCTATATTTTACAAAATGAAAGTATTTTGCTCATACTACTTCAGTTCTTTGAAGGGGCCCAAGGCCCCCTGGCCTCCCCGGTATCTCGGTCCTTACTTCTACTATAGAGACTTTTAAAACAAATTAAGAACAGTTTCAAAGTTTTTGAAAAACTAAGAGCACAAAACTGAAATTCAATTTCCTGACTTCTTACATAAAAGACAGTGTCTGAAACATCGTTTGCATGAAAACTATTGCATATTGAATCAAATCTGTAATTTTTGATTCATATTTTGCATGAATTCAGAAACGTTATTACAAAGTTAAGAGATGAAGTAATAACCTAAAATGAATTTACCCCCGAATCATCTTGCAAAAATTTGACTCCCGTAAGTAGCCCGTAGAAAATTTTCCAACGCTCATTGGTGATTGTAGCCAAGTAAACTGGGTTCCAGAGCGTCAGGTGTATCAAATGGGGGGCGGGTCCTATTTCTTCGACGCCCCACTTGCTACACTCGACGCGCTGGAACACCGGGTAGTAGCCAGGGTGCCAGACACTTTCAATATAAAATAACTGAGTCTCAGTGGCGGAAATTGCGGGGTGTGGGGTGCAACCACCCCTTGGTCTTGTTAATCTATCGGTTTTGTCGGTAAATTATGTCATTTGTCGCCAAATTTGCCTGCTTTTGTGGACATTGCCCCCCAGACTTGAAAAATGAATTTCCGCCACAGGTGAGTCTGGTACCATTGGGACGGTGATTTGCGCTCATCTCCTAAATCCTCAAAGCACTCACTTCCTTCCATTCTGTAAAATAATTCCTCGCAGATAATTAAACTCTGACCCTACAAAGTTGTTTTGGGGGAGAAGGGATGCAGAGTGGACTTTATAAGAAGAATGCTGACAAGGTTTTCACAAGAACTAAGCTGGGAATCATAGAAGTAGCAGTCATTCCCCCTGGAACTCGATGAAATATTAATCTGCGGTTTGCAAACATGAAAAGATGTATAAAAGTCGATAGGATTACTAGTTGCAGACTGTCTCGTTATTATGTCTTTTACTAGTAGGAACATAATGTAGAATTAAATGTTAATCGTTTGCAGATGAGAAGCTTGTCATTTTTCTATAGGTAGCAACTATTGACAGAGACGCCTAGAGGATGAATGAGATGGGGTTAGGACATAGGCGCTCTAGTGATGCGAGGGCAGCACGGGGGCAACACAGGGGCAGCACGGGGGCAGCACGGGGCAGCACGGGGGCAGCAGAATGCCCTTTTCAAGAAATTGGTCCATATAATTCATATAGCAATACTGATTCAATACTTTCAATGCCAATAAATCTAGGTTTCAAGCATCTCTGGATACTTTCATGCAAGACAAAAGTCAATATTTTCCATTTTGGTGGGAACTGAAAATCGATTTGCAAAAGCAATTTGACCACCAAAAATATTTTTGTTGATAAGTTCTCTTAAACTTTCATGATCACTCTGAAAAGATTTCAGATTGCTACCAAAGTTGGTTCGCATATGTTCGATGTATCAGTCCGGGGGGAGGGGGGAGGAGGGATTCCAATTAAAGTCTGACAGGGAGTCCAGTCGATTTGAGGGTCTTACCGAATGGCTATAAAATTTCCCAGTTTCGATAATAACACTACCACTTGTTGGTGCTTCCAGTTGTTGCTACCTCTTAGGGGGAACTTTGAATCAACTGTTTTGTTAATTTGCAATTATTATAGAAAATCAACAAGATCTTATCTTTCCCTAATCAGACGAGGACAAAGAAATGGATGTTACGAAGGGCATAACTTCAGTTCTTATGCTACCATTTGAGGGTTACTGTCAAGAAAGTCTACCCTTTGAAGGTAATTTTTCAATCCTTTTGATTTGGCCCTGTTTGACACTGACTGGACCCCCCTGCAGAGTCAGGAAAACATCACGGTCTAACGGCCACTGACCAGAGGAAGGTCCACTAAAAACAATAGAAGCTCATATCACCAGAGGCGAGGGGCAAATCACTCTAAGAAAATCTCGTATACCTTTTGTAAAAATCCTATTGTGTTATCTGAACATCCATAGAAATCCTTTTGTTTTAGGCAAAATCTCGTACGCTATTTGCAAGAGTGAATCGCCTCTCGACCAGAGGAAGGTCCACGAAAAACTATGGAAGCTCATATGACACACCCAAGACACGCCTAATTTCTATTGCTTTGTGAGGAAGGTTTGTTTTTTGGGATGTTTTTGTCTGGAAGATGTTTAACAACATTTTTGGACTCTGCCCCCCCTGTTAGGCCATAATGGAAGTACCCCCCCGGTGGTATCAGCTAAGGCATCAATGATGTCTTAAATTCAAGCAAAGGGGTAGGAACCGGGAGGTACAGTGGGCACATACCCTCCTTTTCCCAAATTCAGTTTTTGCCAACTGCATAACCAAAAAAGTGACCTTGAATTGCTATATGAAATGAAGAAAGGGGTGACCTTTTGGGGCGATGCTCTAAAATATTTCTTTTCGGTATGCTTTCAGAAGAACAAAAAACAGGCTCACAACAAGGGTTATCGAAAGGTGGTAGCGAAGGAAAATTGGCAATGGGCCTTGAGGTTTCGTGCGCTTGCGAGGTTTCCAGTTTGTGAAAGCAATTGGTAAGACATAGCAAGATTGTACAACTTTTTAAAGATTGCAAGAAGGTGATTGCAAAAAATATTCTGAAATGTATTTCTAGGTAATCTAAAGGGTTTGGTCGCCAAAATTTTTCTGGTCGCTTCGCTCGCAAAGAGCCTCCGAGTCCTCTCTGTGGCACTACACACAGAATGCTTCGCAATTCCTTCCCTTCTTCATCCTTTGACTCTCTGAGGCTCTGGTACCCAGGGTACCCACAGCTAAGCCAGAAAATTATATCTATATCATTGTCTTTATGTAGCAGCCTACATAACAATAATAGAATGATATGATTCCTTCTGCCCTCAAAATCGTTGTCAAACAGATTGAGCCAAATATGGAACTCAGTTCCAAGCCAAATAAGTACTCTCCATAATTTCACCGTTTAATACTTTCTTATCTTTACAAGAAATGTGTATGCAACATCAATTGGTAATTTAAATTAGTTGGCTTTATTTAGCTTGAATTTAGCTGCAGATTGCACCAACTTTTAATATAGAAAGAAAAAAATAGTAAGTTCGGAGGAGTTATTAACTTAAGTTATATCAAGCCATGTAGATGGTTATCAGAACGAAATTTTGTTTTAATTTAAAGTAGGCTTGGGTCCAGCCTTCCTTGATGGTTAATGTTGGGGTGAAAGGAATTTCGAGAATGAAGTTTGACTGTAGTCTTGATTCAAAGTATTTTTGATGGGTGTTGCCTTCATTTTCGAGAGTCTTTAGGGCGTAGCAATGCAAAATTTTCCTATGGGCTATGCCCCCAGGGCACCGATCCTCTCTTCCTTGACAGGGTCTTCACCTACAACCAGGCTTCGTCATTGGCTAAACGAC